GCGTATTTCCCGTGATCTCCTTTCTATAGCTGTCATTACATGTTCATCTCTTGTTCTTCTCTCCCGTTCAATTTCATTCATATATTACTTTTTCCCCCTTTTTTTTACCTCCTTCATCTATACATTTTTTTATTTTAGCTTCTGTTTGCTTTCGTCTCTTGTTCTTGGCTTTGTTTCCCTTCGGACTTGTCCCTTTCTTATTCGTATTTTCATTCTTATTTGCTTTGTTCATGCTTGTTGTATACTTTTTTTTTTTCGCTCTTGTTGCTTCCTTATATTATTCCTTTTATTATTCTTGTCGATTCTTAGCTATTTACTTTAATTTCTTTCATTTCCCTATATTTTTCATTTATTTTTGTATTTATAAAACCTTATATTGTAGTTAATAATTGTGGTTATTATAATAATATCGGGCTACCCTTATCCGAATATGCCAGCCTGGTAGCGAGATTAGCCATTCCTTCTTGCAGAAGTCTGCTCAATCACATTTTTCTTCGTTCAACAGAACCCGCCTGTAGTATATACTGAAACTATCATAAGTGGACCTTTGTTAGCATATTCTAGCGTGATCAACAGTCTTGACAAGGTCAGTACACTCAAAACTTCGGCCATGATGACAATTCCGTATACACATTTTCAATCAAGTCTTCTTGGGTGAATCCATGATATGGTTTTAATGCATATTCCAAAGTTGCCACATGCTGAGATCACATGTCCAGATTGATTACATCAAGGCCACTTTCTTGACAAATCCAAGAAGGCACTTGAAGCAACAGAAACAAAGAAAAGAGTACCGAACTGTTATGCAATATCGGTACTTCTATATGACAGTGAATGTTCGACAATTTCCTCACAGATAAAAACCTGAGACAATAGAAATATGGTTCTATAGATGAATGGTGATAATGAGCCGTTAAACAACGAAGACGTCTTAAAGAAAATAGAAATAAAAAGAACATTTAAAATCAGAAAGAGACAGCTGACATTTCTGCGAAAGATAATGAAGAAAGCCTACTTTCTGAACTTGACACTCACAGGATAAGGTAAAGCAGCCCCAAACTTGATGAATTTGCCTGAAAGAAATGGCGGAAAGAAGATTTGTCAAAGAGACACAAATTGATGATTAGTCAAACAAAGTATATATTTTGCCTTTAGGTACGCCAATATTACTTATATCCACTTTATTTTGCAAGATTTTCTGTTTAATACGTAAAATAAATCAATAAGTGCATACATGCACACAGTTTTTAAGTCTAAGTCTGATCGTTAATTTTAACTGCATAAGTTTCAAACTATGAAGAAGCACTATGTTCAGTGAAAAGAAAATAAAACCTGTTGAATAAATATTTGTTGTGTAAAATAAATACAATTGCATTATTAGGATACGAGTGTTGTGCTGCTGATTGAAAACAGGCTGTTGTATAATAAATATATATTTTTATATACAACATTACTCTTACAATAAAAAAAAAATTGTATATGTGGGTGAAAATATAGATGTATATTTGTATATAGATATATATGTTGGTGAAAAATATAGATTACAGACTTTCTACTCTTGGTTTAGGATGGTGCTCATGCCTTTTTTCAGCACGAGGTTCACTGTAATAGGGAAGTATCTAGCAAATATACTGCCAAGTCTTATGTTAGATAAAGAGATGCGAAATGATCAATAGTCCCAAAATGTTCACTTTATAAAGTAAAGAGGACAAGTATATAGTGGACAATTTCAGTAGTGGAGTAAACAGTATGAGAACTGAGATAATTATTATTATTAGAATAAAAATAAGAAGGTTCTCTGGTAGTATAGATGACGGTGTTTGATATGTGATTTATAATTATAGCGGCTATGAAATTCCATATTATATGTCGTGTCTTTCAATGGGGATCAATGTTCTCAAGTCTCTTTCATACTCTAACATTCTACTTTCATATTCTTGATGTATTTCCGAAATGCTGATGTTTGGGTCGTTCCAATTCTTCCTCAGGTTATTAATTATTCCGGTAGTTTTGAAAGTATCTTCTTAACAGTTCCAAACAATTCAATAATCATGAGTGCTTTCGTAATCATCATATTTCATCATATTTCATCATTTTATTTTCACTTCTCAGCCGAAGTAGATTGCTTTTACTTTGCTTTTATTTTCACTCTAAAATCTGTTGGATATCATTTGATAGTTTTCTTTGTTTACGATAACTACGTGTATTCTGGTTTAGATGGTGAGGTGACCCGTTTTAAACTGAATATTACAATTTCAAAACCCAAGATATTATTATTATTATTATTATTATTATTATTATTATTATTATTGTCATCATTAATTACCCACTGAATGTTAATGGCAGTCAAAACTGGTCATTTACACTAGAGAATAAGTGATAATAAGACTTCTGCATATGGTAGTTTTTAAAAATGTCGTCCATTGGATGATTCCGACTTCTTTCCTATCTTCTAGTCTTCTTCAGAATTTTAACTAAACTTTCCTTCACAATACACTACCTTTGATTTCTTTTGATTTCTGGTGTATAAATATTTCTTTCCGAATCCCAAACAGAGACCTAAGTTCAGAAATGGCACCATGGCATTTTCCATTGAAAACTTTTTGAAAAAAACAAAACAAAACAAAATAATAAAAAAAAATGACTAAGATCACAAATATTTTACATAGATAAAGCCCTTCGTAAGTTATGAGCTGTTCTTGTGAGTACAGCTTTTTGTATTTATTTAAGACTTGTGCTATCAGAGATCCCTTGAATGGGTCTATCGGAACCTTCTTTTTAAATCAACCCGATGGCTCCAACTACAACTGAAATTGTTGATGTCTTCACGTGCTGCATTTTTGAGATTTCAGTTTAAAGGTTCTTGTATCTTCAAAGATACATTACAAACTACAGCGACTGCAGTATCAATAAGAAGGCACATTCTGTTTTTATTATTATCTTTTGTACTGTTGTCGTTTTTAACCGGGGATTCTTGCATTATGGGTGCTATCCAAGTTGTATGACATCAGACAGACTACAATTCTCGCAGAATGTTTGCTCTACCAAGAAAAAGAGACTTCTGAAGCGATGGCGTACTATACATTAGTCTTATTTCTTTAATGTGGGTTTCTAAGTTCGGTAGTATAGAGCCCCAATAATGGCTGGGCCAATAATAATCTGAACCTACCACAATCAGACGCCGATCTATTTCTTAAGCTTGTCAATTTGTTTGAATTTGATCACCTGGAGCAGCCACGTCAACAAGGAGACATTTTCATGTCTTTTGTCAATTACAGTGATGTTTGGTTTGGTGGCGTAAAGGGTACGGTCTGCTTGGATTTTAAAATCTCACAAGATTTTAATTAGTCGTTTTTCATCAACTTCCCAGGCTTGTGGTGATATTATTATCATTATTCTTTTCATCATCTCTTACTTATGCAGTAATTTAAAGATCAAGTTATAAAAGATGATCATGTATTTCGTCATTTCTTCATCTTGCTACATCAAGAAAACATTTCTCAGAAATCTAACTGGTTTCTGGACCATCTCAGTTCGAATCACAGTTCCAATTTTAAAAAAAAAATGGATTTTGTTTGTCACAGTTCCAACATGGAACATCTTCCTCTTTCTTAAGTCCTCAAAAGATCCTTCTTCTTTTTATGATATGCCAGTCACAACTGGTAGTTTTTGCTTAGGGCAAAGTGCCAACAAATTTCCTTATTCCAGCATTATATTTAATTTTACTGTTATTCGTATGGTTAGATTACTTTGGGCTTCTAAATACCTCAACCTCGTAGAAAGGTCTTTTAAGGACTGACTGAAATTCGTCAATAATAATGAAGTTATCTTTATGTAACACGGTTTTTATATCAGCACAATTATAACTAAAGGAAGGCTCCACCTACAGGTACGGTAATTTTGTTATAACACTAGAGAATAACTAAAATCAGGTATTAAATGAAAGTAATCCCTTGTGTAAAAGGAAGATTAAAAGGAAATAGAAATAAATTTATATATCGTGCACTTGAATTTATATATCTAGATACTTCATCCATCAATGCAAAATGCGTTTATATAATGTCTGTTTTTTTTTACAGAAGGGTGCAACGTTCATTTTTAAAGAAGAATAGAAAGGAAAAGGACGCTTATATTAGGATACAAAGATACAGTTTATATTTTTGGGACAATGATGAAGGAAGATGGCTTAAAACTTTTAAAACTCACGGTATCTACTAAAGCCTAGATGGAAACAAAGGGTCATCTAACTAGCTTTTGCAAATCGATAACGGAATAGGAAATGAAAAGCATAATAAAAATACAAACTTTACTTAATATTACAAAAGATAGGCAGTTGTGGAGTGACATGATCGCCCACATCTTGAAGAGACATAGCACATGAAAAAATAGTATTTCATCATTGTTATCATTGCTTCATATTTAGCCATATTGTATTGTAATTCTGTATATACTAAATAACACATATATAATCATATCTATATTTTGAAAGGCTATTCAAGGCAAATATTGCTTGGGCAAGACTGACTAACCAGTGAGTCAGCATTGACTATTGCAAATGTCACTTTGGTTTTTTCACACGTGGTGTTATCAAAAATCCAAGTTATAAAAATATTATTTATTTGCCCATGTTTTTCAAGATTTGTTTCGAATAAAAGATTGCCCCGAATAACGTCTATTTACAATCATTGATCATCATTCTCCACAACTTCTTGTCCTTTGTAATTTTTTAATTTAATTTTTTTTAAGAAGGTGGAGTAATGGATAGCGGCTTGGATTGAGGAATCGGAGAGCCGAGTTCGAATTCCAGTCGAATCCATTACATTCACTTACGTGCTAACACCCTTGGGAAAGGTGTGAATCCTCTTTCTTCTCCCTCCAGCTATGGGTAAATAGCAGGACAGACAGGGTTCTATAGCCTTGGATGGCAACTGGTCTAGGAAAAGGAAAACTCTGAATTCAAAACCTGCTCTTAGATGAGGGTGAATGGAGTCTCTCTGAGCCTTGGTTGGCAATCCATTTAGTGATGGTGTCACGATAAAAACACCCTTGATAACCCTAGTGAATCATCAAGAATTCAGCTATTGACAAGATTATCAAAGTATTATTGAGTTCAATCTCAGCTGAGGCTACAAGATGATGATTGTAATTTTTGTCTTTTTTTCTGTTTCTACTAAAGATTGTTCCGTTATCCATTTACACAAGC